TAGAAGTTAGGATCAATGCAATGAAGGAAGGAATAAAACAAAAACCAGATGTGGCAAGAAGACAAAATTATTATTACTTATCAGTGATATACCTTAGTTATAAAAGCTATAAAATCCCAAGACAACTTCCAGAAATAAAATAATAGTAAAGAAGAACTTAAAAATCACTAATAAATGTAATGTGAATTAAAACAATAGGCAATGTAAGTTGTTTACCACCTAGAATGTTAATGGTCAAAAAGTTTGAAAATGATGTTCATAAGGGTGAGGGTAAACAGGCACCCCCAAATGTTGCTGATGGTATTTTTTAATGGGGGAAAATATCATTTCTTCTCTACACTTTCATAATACTTCTGGCCATTAAACGTGTGAGCTTTTCCCACACCAAACAATTCTCCAATTCTCTGTAGGCACCAACTGTGTATCCTACAATTTAACCCACTTCTGACACTGACTTTCTAAGAGTTACTGCAGACCCCACAGGTTAAGGGCTCAATGCCACAGGATTGCCCCCAACTTCAGACACCAATTGCAAGGAGTAGGTCCCAAGGTTACCCACACTTCTATCTAATGTGGCTATAAATTAGGGGTTGTCACAACCCCCTCCCCAGGTTTGATAATTTGCTACAGTGACTCATAGAACTCATGGAAACACTTACGTTTACCAGTTTATTATATAATAAAGGATCTGATAAGGCTACAGATGGACAGCCAGAGGAAGAGAAACATAGAGCAAGGTCCAAAAGCAGGACAGGCACAGGAGCTTCTGTCCCTGTGGAGTTGGGGTGCACCACCTTCCCATCACACAGATGTATTAACCCACCCAGAAGTTCTCCAAACCCTATACTTCACAACCTTGTACTTCAGAGACTTTTATGGTGGCTTCACCACGTAGGCATGATTTATTATTAACAATCTCCAGCTCCTCTCCCCTTCCCTGAGGATAGGGTGGGGTGGGGCTGAAAGTTCCAAGCTTCTAATCATGGCTTGGTCTTCCTCAAGACCAGCCACCATCTAAGAGCTCACCAAGAGTCATTTTATTAAAACAAAGATGCTCCAAGTACCCTTCACTTCAGAAATTACAAGTGTTTTAGGAGCTCTGTGTCAGGAAACAGGGTCAGAGACCACTATATACATATATGTATTTCTCATTGTTTCACAATATTATATATTGATACAGCCTCTACGGAGAGCAATTTGGCAACATTTAAAAATTATAAATGCACATGCCTTTTAGACTAGCAGTTCCTCTTTAGGAATTAATCTGACAGATATTCCTGTATCTATGTTAGAAAGTATATGTACAAAATTATTTTTTATGTATTGTTATTACATGAGAAAATGGCAATGACCTAAATAACCATCAACAGGAAATTGTTCAATAAATTGTGGTATTCATTCATTGCAATACTATGCGGTTGTAAAAAAGAATGAGGAAGTTGTTGATATTAAAATGAAATGAGCTCCAAGATATAACGTTAAGTGAAAAAGCAACATATACAATGACTGTGCATAGTTTGCTACCATTTGTATATATACGTTTTTAAAACAGGAAAAATCACATATGCTAATTTATGTATAAAATATCTATGGATGCATATATAAGAAACTAGTAACATTCATTAAATATGTATACTGTATTCTATGATTTGAGTTTAAATTTAAGTACATATATTACCTGTTATTAAATACATTTAATTTTAAGAAAGAACGGGGGAAAATGTTCACAAAAGTATAGGACATCTTTTGCTTTGCCAGACAGAAAACATATTTTAAAACTACTATTATTAAACATTATGCAACTATAACACTGGCAGAAGTACTGACAAAACATGTAAATTAGTAAATTAAAAGACAAAGGAAATGTGAGAAATTAATGGAGAAATGTCAAATTATTCACTCAGCAAATGATATCATAAAAAATAACACTTTGGCAAAAAATTATATTCTTACTCTAACCCCATATACCCAAATCAATTTCAGATTATTTAAAATTTTAAATGTACAAAATAGAACTATATATAAACTAGGTGAAATATATGTGAGTAGTTAACTGATCTTCAGCTATTGATGATTTTCTGTTTCAAATGTTAAGTCTACCTTGCATTCCTGAGATAAACCCCACTTGGTCATAATAAATTTTCTTTTTCAAATGCTATTGGTTTTAATATGCCAAAGTATTACCATTGGTTTTAATTTGCTACCTCTATTCATGAGAGATGTTGGTCTTCAGTTTTGTTTGTGGTATCAGGATAATGCTAATCACCTAAAAGAATCTGGGTGGTGTTTCTCCTCTACTTTTTAAGTGAGTTTGTATAGAATTGGTGTTATTCCATTCTAATGTATAATAGAATTCACCCATTAAACATAAAGTTGTTCATAACATTCCTTTGTTTTTTAAATATCTATAGGATCTATAATAATGTCCCCTCTTTCATTCTTTCATTCTTAATGCTGGCAATTTCTTTCTTCTCTCTTCTCTTCTTCTCCTCTTCTTTTCTCCTCCCCCTCCTCCTCCTCCTTCTTCTTCTTCCTCTCTCTCTCTCTCTCTTAGCCTGATAAGAGATTTATTATTGATTTTTTTTGAAGAACAGCTTTTGGATTTATTTACTTTATTATTTTTCTGTGTTCTATTTCATTTATTTTTCACTCTTACTTCTTACATTCTTAATTATTTCTACATCTACTTATTTTGTGTTCAATTGTTCTTTTTCTAGTCTTTGTTTTAAGGTGGAAGCTTAGATCATTGATTTTTTTTAAACCTTTTTTTCTCTGATACAAACATTTAATGCTAAAATTTATTTGAAAGTACTGCTTTAGCTTCATACCACCAATTCTAGGGGTGGGTGTTGTTGTTGTTTTGCTTTGTCTTAGAGAGTTGCTCTGTCACTCAGACTGGAATGCACTGGCATGATTTTGGCTCATTGCAACCTCCACCTCCCGGGTTCAAGCAGTTCTCATGCCTCAGCCTCCCTAATAGCTGAGATTACAGGTGCGGACCATCACGCCCAGGTAATTTTTGTATTTTTAGTAGAGTCGGAGTTTTGCTATGTTGGCTAGTTTGGTCTTCAACTCCTAGCCTCAAATGATCTGCCTGCCTCAGCCTCCCAAAGTACTGGGATTACAGGCATGAGCCACCGTGCTGGGTCCATGCCACCAATTCTAATTTGTTGTGTTTTCATTTTCATTCAATTCAAAACATAATTTTCCTTCTTTGACCCATGAGTTATTTAGAAGAATGTCATTTAATTTCCAAATATTTGTGAATTTTCAAGTTATGCTTTTGTTGTTGATTTCTAATTTAATTTTATTTTTAAACAGAGAACCTACTCTGTGTAATTTCAGTTCTTTTCAATTTATGGAGACTTGTTTTATGGCCCAGAATTTGTTTTATCTTGTTGAATGTTCCACATGCACTTAAAAAGAATGTGTGTTCTGTTGTCTTTGGGTGTTAACATTCTATCAATTAGATCAGTGAGTAGATAATGTTCTAGCCTTTTTTACTCTTACTGATTATCTGTCTGTTTTACCAATTACTAAGAATGCAGTGTTCATATCTCCAACTATAATTGTTAATATTTCCATTTCTCCTTTCATTTTTGTTAGTTTTTATTCATTGCTTTTTTGTCTTTATTTCTGTCTGATTGCAATTCATATATTTTGAAGCTCTGTTATTGGTTATATAAACACTTAAAATCTTCTGATTAATTGATCTTCTCATCATTGGAAAATGTCCCTCATTATCCTTGGTAATATTACTTATCCTGAAGTCTACTTTGTTTAATATTAATATAGCCACTGCACTTTTTTGATAAGTATTTGTAATGTCTATCTTTTTCTATCCTTTTATTTATTTTTTATTATAAATAAATGAGACGGGGTCTCACTCTGTCACCCAGGCTGGAGTGCAGTGATGTGATCATTGCTCACTGCAGCCTCAACCTCTTGGGTTCAGGTGATCCTCCCACCTCAGCCTCCTACTCATTTGCTGGGACTACATGGGTATGCATCATGCCTGGCTAATTTTTTGTATTTTTTGTAGATATGGGGTTTTGCCATGTTGCCCAGACTGGTCTCAAATTCCTGGGCTCAAGTGATCTTCTCACTTCAGCCTCCCAAAGTGCTAGGATTACAAGTGTGAGCCACCATGCCCAGCTACTATCCTTTTAATTTTAAATTGTGTCTCTATTTAAAATATTTAAAGTGGGTTTCTATAGACAACACAGTTAAACTCTGTTTTCACTGGACTGACTAGACCATTTATGCTTAATGTAATTATCTATACGGTTAGAGTAAGTTTATCGTCTTGTCTTGCTGTTTGTTTTCTAGGTGTTCCGTCCTTTTTTTTTTTTTTTTTTTCCCCTTTAAGATGGGGTTTCGCATGTTGGCCAGGCTGGTCTCGAACTCCTGACTCCACTCGCCTTGGCCTCCCAAAATGCTGGAATTATGGGCATGAGCCACCATGCCTGGTCTTCATTTTTCCTTTTTTTTTTTTTTTTGTAGTTCTTTGTTGTTCCTTTTTTCTTTTTCCTGACTTCTTTTGAATTATTTGATTGCTTTTTCAGCATTCCATTTTATCTCCTCTTATTTGAGGTTTTTTAGCTGCACTTATTTGGAGATGTTTTGTTCTGCTGCTTCTTGTTTTGCATACACATATTTACCCTACCACAGTCTACCTTCAAACAATAATTACACCCCTTCGTGTATAAGACCTTACAACTATATGCTTCTATTTTCCCTTCCCATCTTTTGGGCTATTGTGGTCACACATATGTTATAAGCACCATGAAAATTTGTTATCTTTAAATAATAAATATCTTTCAATAAAATTTTTAAATTTAAAAAATTGGCCAAGCACAGTGGCTCACACCTTTAATCTCAGCACTTTGGGAGGCTGAGACGGGCGGATCACAAGGTCAAGAGATCAAGGCCATTCTGGCTAACACGGTGAAACTCTGTCTCTACTAAAAATACAAAAAAGTAGCCAGGCATGGTGGCACATGCCTGTGGTCCCAGCTACTTGGAAGATGGAGGCAGAAATTGAGCCTAGATCACTCCACTGCTCTCTAGCCTGGTGACAGAGTAAGACTCCATCTCAAGAAAAAAAAAAAAAAACTTTCATAAATAACACTTATCATTTCCTCCACTCTGCTTTCCTTTATGTAGTTCCAAGTTCCCATGTAGTGTCATATTTCTTTAGTCTTAAGAATTTCATGGCCAGGTATGATGGCTCATGCCTGCAATTCCAGAGCTTTGAGGGGGCCGAGGTTGGAGGACTGCTCAAGGCCAGGAGTTGGAGACCAACCTGGGCAACATAAAGAGACCCTGTCTCTACAAAATGTTTTTACAAAAATAAGCAAGAGCATATCTGGAAAAAAAAAAAAAAGATTTCCTTTAACATTTTTGTAGTCCAGGAGATAGTCACAAATTCTCAGCTTCTATCCGTCTGAAAAAGTCTTCATTTTACCTTCACGTTTAAAGGATATTTTTCCTGGGTAGAGAACTCTAGGTTGGCAGATTTTTTTCTTTTAATATGTACTTTGAAGGTATTGTTAGGAACAAGGGCTTATTTTTGCATTTATTCTTATGCCTGTGCCCCCATATGTAAGGTATCTCTTTTTCTCTGGCTGAGTTTTGTTGAGTCCGACTGGCAGACTCAACTGAGTGATGGATTAAAGACGTACACTGACACAGGCTTGCCAGTCAGCGTTGCCAGGGGATCTATGCCAGAGTCAGCAGCAGCCATGATAAGCTGGCAATGCTCGCATCTATTTAGTACAGATTAAATGGCAAAGATCTCAAGTAAACAACATTTACATTGTCAACGCTCAGAGTAGAGAGCAGTTTTGCCTGTGGATGTTCAAAGGTCAATCTTAGTAAACAAGCTATTTAGATAAACTCCTCTAAATTCCCTTGTTATTTGGTTTTTGCTATTAGCTCAAGGTAAGAGGATTCAGCCATGACCTCCTCCCGAAGCTTTTGTAAAATCTTCCAGCCTTCCAAGAAGGTTTGCATCCATTTATAATTTCTCCCACCATTCTGACTGATCTCCTAAACCACCCCCTTTTTCTGTTTTTTGTATCAAGCTTTGTTGATTGAATAGTACAAATGTGTGCAGCAGCAGTTCTGTCAGGCACAGCAGTTGTAAGTCATGCTCTGACCTTGTATCCTAGAATTAGTAAATAACATAAGACAAACATGAGTATAATCAGTAACATTGTTTTCCAATCAAGGAGCAACCTGTAGTGTGGCTTGGCACCTCAGTCCAATGTGTGCCATTAATGAGGGACCCCACTGGGGGTAAATTTATTCTTTCTAGCCATGCAGTCGAGTTGTTCGAGGCTGGGAAGGGAGTTTCTGCCTAAGCAACAGGCAGAAAAACAGCAGATTAGAAGATGGCTCAATAGAGTGCAGCAAGTACAGGTCACAGGCAGAGTGAGATAATAAAAAAGGAGAAACAAATTATTTGGAGTGAATGGTGTTTGTGTTTGGAGTGGGATTCACTCAGCCTTCTGAGTTGCTTCCTTCAGCATCCCCCAGGTAATGTCTGGGGCTTTTGTCATCCGAGGAGGTCACATCGTCTGGGGCTGCAGATCTTGCAGGGTCATTGTCTTCATCGCTGGTATCAAGTTGGGTCCTAGCCATGCCATGGTATGGTTTGATACATAGTGCTGGAATCCAAAGAGGACCTGAGAAGGTGTGAACACAAGCATATCCTCGTCTCCATGTTAGCAAGTCATTTGGAACATACCATTCATTACTATTTACATCATTCCATAAAACCGCAGGTTTTATGTTCAGAGCTTTTTAGCAAAGTGCTTTTCTACAGCTGATTGAAATGTATCATTTAAATTTAAGAAATTAAGGGTAAACAAGGCTTGTGCTAGTAAATGTTGCAAGATCCTTATCCATACTTCCCCTTTTTTGTTTTCTGAGCATATTTTTAAGGGTACAGTGGACACGATCTACAAGGGCCTGTCCTTGGGGGTTATATGGAGTGCCTGTGGAATGTTGGATATTCCACATGTGACAAAATTGTTGAAATTGTGAGCTGACATAAGCTGGACCATTAACAGTTTTAATTTTTGTGGGCCATCCCATAAATGCAAAAGTTAAGATGTTTAATGGCATAGAGTGGCCTCTCCAGGAAGTGTGTGCAGTAATTAGATAAGTGTTGGTATCAATGGCTACATGTACATATCTTAGTTTTCCAAATTCAGGGATGTATGTAACATCTGTTTGCCATAACTGATTAGGTTCTGGTCCTCTAAGGTCAACATCTATAGAAGGAGGCGATGTGCCTGTGAGCTGACAATCTGGACATTGCAGGATGATTTGTTTGGCTAGTCTTTGGGTAAGTTGAAATCGTTTAGTTAAGTTCCTCCAATTTTAGTGGAAAAATTGATGCAATTGGGTGGCTTGGTCAAGCAGTGATGTCATAACTTGCAGATATGCTTGATCACTGCCATAAGCCAGTGGGCCAGGCAGTGAGCTGTGGGCTCAAATATGTGTGATAAAAGTAGAATGTGTAGGCCGGGTGCGGTGGCTCATGCCTGTAATCCCAGCACTTTGGGAGGCCAAGGTGGGTGGATCACAAGGTCAAGAGATCAAGACCATCCTGGTCAACATGGTGAAACCTCTTCTCTACTAAAAATACAAAAAATTAGCTGGGCATGGTGGCGCGTGCCTATAATCCCAGCTACTCAGGAGGCTGAGGCAGGAGAATTGCCTGAACCCAGGAGGCAGAGGTTGCGCTGAGCTGAGATCTCGCCATTGCACTCCAGCCTGGGTAATAAGAGTGAAACTCTGTCTCAAAAAAAAAAAAAATGCAAAATTCATCCAGGCAGTGGCAGGCGCCTGTTTTGCAACTTATCAGTAGTTATGCCTAAGGTGGTGCCAAGCCAGTTAATATCACCCAGTAATTTTTGCTAATCATTTAAGGTATGTAAGTTACTAGTATTTGATTTAACCTTTTGAGGCCTTACTTATCAGGAAGTTAGTATATAAGATATTTCCAAGGAGAGGACATTTGTACTTTTTCACGTGCTATGATTAAACCTCTTAACTGTGTATTCCTTTGGACAGAGGCATATAAACTTAAAAGAGGTGGCTCCATTGGGGTTGCCAGTAAAATATCACCCATAAAATGAACAATCTTGCAAACAGGAAATTCTTTTCTACTGGGGAGCAAAGCCTGATTTACATAATACTGACAAGTGATAGGACTGTTCAGTATTCCTTAAGGAACCACATTCCAAAGAAATCAGCAAGCTAGCCTTTCATTACTGATAGCTAGTATTGTAAACGCAAATTTTTCTCTGTCCTGTTCTGCAAGGGGAATAATATAAAAGCATTCTTACCAAAAGAGAGCCCGCATAGCCAAGTCAATTCTAAGCAAAAAGAACAAAGCGGGAGGCATCACACTACTGGACTTCAAACTATACTACAAAGCTACAGTAATCAAAACAGCATGGTACTGGTACCAAAACAGAGATACAGACCAATGGAACAGAAGAGAGGCCTCGGAATTAACACCACACATCTACAACCATCCAATCTTTGACAAACCTGACAAAAACAAGCAATGGGGAAAGGATTCCCTGTTTAATAAATGGTGTTGGGAAAACTGGCTAGCCATGTGCTGAAAGCAGAAACTGGACCCCTTCCTGACACCTTACAGTAAAATTAACTCCAGATGTATTAAAGACTTAAACATAAGACCTAACACCATAAAAACCCTAAAAGAAAATCCAGGCAAAACCATCCAGGACATAGGCGTAGGCAAGGACTTCATGACCAAAACACCAAAGCATTGGCAACAAAAGCCAAAATAGACAAGTGGGACCTAATCAAACTTCACAGTTTCTGCATGGCAAAAGAAACAGTCATTAGAGTGAATCGGCAACCAACAGAATGGGAAAACATTTTTGCAGTCTACCCATCTGACAAAGGGCTGATGTCCAGAATTTACAAAGAACTAAAACAGATTTACAAGAAAAAAACAAACAAGCTCATTCAAAAGTGGGCAAAGGATATGAACAGACACTTTACAAAAGAAGACATATGTGAGGCCAACAAACATATGAAAAAATGTTCATCATCACCGGTCATTAGAGAAATGCAACTCAAAACTACATTGAGATACCATCTCATGCCAGTTCAAATGGCGATCATTAAAAAATCTAGAGACAACAGATGCTGGAGAGGATGTGGAGAAATAGGAATACTTTTACACTGTTGGGGGGAGTGTAAATTAGTTCAACCATTGTGGAAGACAGTGTGGTGATTCCTCAAGGACCTAGAAATAGAAATTCCATTTGACCCAGCAATGCCATTACTGGGTATATATCCAAAGGATTATAAATCATTCTACTATAAGGACACATGCACATGAATGTTCATTGCAGCACTGTTTACAATAGCAAAGACCTGGAACCAACCCAAATGCCCGTCGATGATAGACTGGACAGGGAAAATGTGGCACATATACACCATGGAATATTATGCAGCCATCAAAAACGATGAGTTCGTGTTCTTTGTAGGGACATGGATGAACCTGGAAACCATCATTCTCAGCAAACTGACACAAGAGCAGAAAATTAAACACCGCATGTTCTCACTCATAGGTGGGTGTTGAACAATGAGAACACATGGACACAGGGAAGGGAGCACTACACACTGGGGTCTGTTGGGGGGAAATAGGGGAGGGATAGTGGGAGGCGGAGAGTTGGGGAGAGATAGCATGGGGAGAAATGCCAGATATAGGTGAAGGTGAGGAAGGCTGCAAATCACACTGCCATGTGTGTACCTATGCAACTATCTTGCATGTTCTTCAAATGTACCCCAAAACCTAAAATGCAATAAAAAAAAAAGAATAAATAAATAAAATAAAAGCATTCTTTTAAGTCAATAATGACTATAGGCCAATTTTGAGGAATTGCCATAGGGGAGGGGAGCCCCTGCTGAAGAGGCCTCATAGGCTGTCAATTAGCATTAATAGCCCA